CCAGACATAAAATGAAAGTATTCCCTAGTGGACCAGACATAAAGTGAAAATATTCCTTAGTGGACCGTCATAAAGTGAAAATATTCCCTAGTGGACCAGACATAAAATGAAAGTATTCCCTAGTGGACCAGACATAATGGGAAAGTATTCCCTAGTGGACCAGACATAAAGTGGAAATATTCCTTTGTGAACCAGACATAAAGTTAAAATATTTCTTAGTGGACCAGACATAATGTGAAAATATTCCCTAGTGGACCAGACATAAAGTAAAAATATTCCTTAGTGGACCAGACGTAATGAGAAAGTATTCGTTATTAGACCAGACATAAAGTGAAAATATTCTTTAGTGGACCAGACATAATGTGAAAGTATTCGCTATTAGACCAGACATAAAGTGAAAATATTCCTTAGTGGACTAGACATAAAGTGAAAGTATTTTCTAATGAACCAGACATAAAGTGAAAGTATTCGCGAGTAGACCAGACATAAAGTGAAAATATTCCTTAGTGGACTAGACATAAAGTGAAAGTATTCGCTATTAGACCAGACAGAAAGTGAAAATACTCCTTAGTGGACTAAACATAAAGTGAAAGTATTCTCTAATGAACCAGACATAAAGTGAAAGTATTCGCGAGTAGACCAGACATAAAGTGAGAATATTCCCTAGTGGACCAGACATAAAGTGAAAGTATTCGCTATTAGACCAGACATAAAGTGAAAATATTTCTTAGTGGACTAGACATAAAGTGAAAGTATTCTCTAATGAACCAGACATAAAGTGAAAGTATTCGCGAGTAGACCAGACATAAAGTGAAAATATTCCCTAGAGGGCCAGAGGTAATGTGAGAATATTCCCCAGTAGTAGACCAGCCATAAAGTGAAAGTATTCCCTAGAGGGCCAGAGGTAATGTGAGAATATTCCCCAGTAGTAGACCAGCCATAAAGTGAAAGTATTCCCTAGTGGGTAAGACATAAACTGAAAATATTCCCTAGTGGGCCAGACGCAATGAGAAAGTATTCCCTAATGGACCAGACATAAAGTGAAAGTATTCCCTAGTGGGTAAGACATAAACTGAAAATATTCCCTAGTGGGCCAGACGCAATGAGAAAGTATTCCCTAATGGACCAGACATAAAGTGAAAGTATTCTCTAATGAACCAGACATAAAGTGGAAATATTCCTTAGTGGACCAGACATAAAGTGAAAGTATTCCCCAGTAGTGGAGCAGACATAAAGTGAAAATATTCCCTAGTGGGTAAGACATAAAGTGAAAGTATTCCCAAGCGGACCAGACATAAAGTGAAAATATTCCCTAGTAGACAAGACATCAAATGAAAGTATTCCCTAAGTGAACCAGACATAAAGTGAAAATATTCCCTCGTAGACAAGACATCAAATGAAAGTATTCCCTAAGTGGACCAGACATAAAGTAAAAATATCCCTTGGTGGACCGTCATAAAGTGAAAATATTCCTTAGTGGACCAGACATAAAGTGAAAATATTCCCTCGTGAACCAGACATAAAGTGGAAATATTCCTTAGTGGACCAGACATAAAGTGAAAGTATTCCCCAGTTGTGGAGCAGACATAAAGTGAAAATATTCCCTAGTGGGTAAGACATAATGTGAAAGTATTCCCAAGCGGACCAGACATAAAGTGAAAATATTCCCTAGTAGACAAGACATCAAATGAAAGTATTCCCTAAGTGAACCAGACATAAAGTGAAAATATTCCCTCGTAGACAAGACATCAAATGAAAGTATTCCCTAAGTGGACCAGACATAAAGTAAAAATATCCCTTGGTGGACCGTCATAAAGTGAAAATATTCCTTAGTGGACCAGACATAAAGTGAAAATATTCCCTCGTGAACCAGACATAAAGTGGAAATATTCCTTAGTGGACCAGACATAAAGTGAAAGTATTCCCCAGTTGTGGAGCAGACATAAAGTGAAAATATTCCCTAGTGGGTAAGACATAAAGTGAAAGTATTCCCTAGTGAGTAGGACGTAATGTGAAAGTATTCCCAAGCGGACCAGACATAAAGTGGAAATATTCCTTAGTGGACCAGACATAAAGTGAAAATATTCCCTCGTGAACCAGACATAAAGTGGAAATATTCCTTAGTGGGTAAGACATAATGTGAAAGTATTCCCAAGTGGACCAGACATAAAGTGAAAATATTCCCTAGAGGGCCAGACATAAATTGAAAATATTCCC